TCACATCCCTTGGCTTGTGGCCCCTTTCTTGTGTCTCTCTGGCCTCTGCTTCTGCCACCCTGTCTCCTCCCACTCCAGCTCTCCTGCCTCCCTCTTCCTCTTACAGGAACTTTTGTGATTACAATGGGCCCACCCAGGACAATCTCCTGAAGATCCTTAACTTAATGATATCAAAAGATTCCATGCTGCCATAGAAAGTAAAATACAGGTTTCAGGGACCGGGGCATGGACAGTTTAGGGTGCCATTATTCTGTCAACCACTCAAAGTAGATCCTCCAAATTCAAGATAAATAAAGAAAAAATCAATAATAAGAAATCCTATATGTGATACCTTACTTGTGATGATAGTTCCACAGGTATGTGCCCAGGTCCAAACTTCTCTAATTATATACAGTGTGGGGCAAAAGTAGGTTTACAGTTGTAAGTTGCACAAAACACAGTTTGTTCTTACACTATTATTTATTATGGTATTATTTTCCATATGAACAACTGTAAACCTACCTTTGCCCTACCCTGAAAATTAAATTTGTGGTTTTTTTGTATATTAATTATGCCTCAATAAAGCTGTTAGAAAACTCCTACATTTGGAAAATAAGACATACTTCTAAATCAGAAACAGATCACAGAAGAAATCACAATGGAAATTAGAAAATGTTTTAAACTAAGTGATACTTAAAATTCAGCATAGCAACTGACAGGATGCAGGTAAAGCTATGCTTTGTAACAAATTTATGGCTTTAAATTAAAAAAAGGATGAAAATCAATCAAGTAGATATTCCAAGAAATTAAGGAAAATAACAAATTAAACAGAATGTAGTAAAAAAAAAAGATTCATAAACTTACAAAAAATCTACAATGCCAAGAGTTTTTTTAAGACTAATACAATTTGTGTGTGTGTCTGATGAGGCTAGTAAAAAATGTACACAAGTGGGAGATATAATCACATACCCTGCTGACATCAACAATATAGATTATTATATTCAGCTTCATGCCAATACATTTGAGAAATATATAACAGACAGGTTTTTTTTGTCGACAGTTTAACAAAATACAGTGAAGAAGAGATAGTCTAAATAATCCAACAATTAACTATTAAAGACATTGAAACTATACTCTAAAATTCTCCCACAAAGAGCGAACACCAGGCCCTCTTATCTTCAACAACCACTCAAATATTTCAAGAACAATTAGGAACAATTATACACAATTATTCCAGAGAGTAGAAGGAGAATACTTACCAACCTAATTTATGAAGCCAGCCTAACACTGCTAACAAATCCTGACAAATGCATTACAAGAACAGAACATTGCAGGACGGTATCACCTGTGGACAGATTAGCAAACGTACGGAGAAAATGCTATTGTTACCATAGACAGAGCACCAGGGAGTATCCCCCATTGGCCAAGATGGTAGCAGGGGAGGTCCTTACACTGAGCACGCCAAAAGCTAGAAATTTAAATGAACAGGACCTGAAACTCCAAAAGCTGGAAAGATGAATGAATGGGGTCCTAAGCACAGGAAAGCTAGAAAGATGATTGGACAGGACAAAAAGCCCTCCCCTCCCTACCCCTTCCTGTAAGAACCTCAGCTCCAGCAGGAAGATGGAGTTGTCTTTGAAACAGGGGTCCACCATTCTCCCGTCCCGTGGCACCTGAATGAAACCTCTTTCCTTTTGCACCCACACCTGCCTCACCAGTTTGGTTTTTGTTGCGGCAGGCAGTCAAACGTCCGCTTTGTTTGGTTACATCATCACACTGAATGTATCTATTTATCTACCTGTCAGTATACCTAAATATATATTCACCTGCATACATCTACATATGTGTGTGTAAATATGTATACAGTACCACGTGACCAGCGAGTTTATTCCTGCAATGAAAGGTTGGTTTTACATTCAAAACACACCGTCATTCTCTGTGTCCACAAAATGAAGAATCATATAATCACCTCAACTGAAGCAAAAGAACTTTTGACAAAATTCGTTTCTCTAGGATATTGGAAAAAACTTAGCCAACTAGGGAATTAGTGTTGTGAATTCCACTGCTGCCATACCAAATACCACAAACGCAGCTGTTGAAACCACACAAATGGGTCACCTTGGAGTGCCGTAGGTTAGACCTTCAACGAGGGCCTTGTGGGGCGAAAATCCACGCGCCTGTGGGCCGGTGCTGCCCGCGAGGCTCAGAGGGAGAGTCTCCTGGCCTTATCCGGCTGAGGTGTTCCATTCCTTGGCTCATGTCCCCCCGCGTCTACACTCCCTCTGTCTCTCCTTCCATCTTTACATTTTTCCTGACTGACCCGAGCTGGGAAAGGGTCTCAGGTACTAAGGATTCATGTGTTTAGATTAGGCCCCCCTGAAAGATCTGGGGGAGTCTCCCTGCCTAAAAATCTTTAATATTCATCACATCTGCAATGTCCCTTTTGCCATATAAGGTAATGAGGACTTGGGTTATTTTGAGGGGGGGTGGCATGATTGTGCATATCACAACTAATAATAAAAAAAAACTCTTTAATCTTACAAAGAATACTTACAAGTATTCACACCAAATATTACATTTAATATTGAACTATGAACAGCTTTTACTTTGCAGCCAGGAATACCACAGGAGGTCCTCTATGGTTACTTGTTAAACTTTGTACTGGAGGTTCTAAGTGATTTAGCAAGTCAAGAGAAGATATAATAGTATACGGGTAAGAATGAAAACCTTGTTATGTTTGTAAGTGATATGTTTGCACATACAGAAGATCCAAAAAAAATCAATGAGCAACTATGAGGATTACTAAGTGTTTGAAAGACTTTGGAGACGTGATCAACTTACAAAAACAAACAATTATATTTCTATATATCACTAACAAACTACTAGAATATGAATTGTATACCATACCATGGACATTGTCATAAACTGTCAAGTAGCCAGGAGAAATCGAACAAAAGATTTTCCAGGGAAAACATTGCTGAGAGAGGGGTATTTATTTAAGGAATGGACTCACGCAAGAGCAGAGGCTGGAAAGTTTGAAATCTGCAGGACAGGCCAGCACGCTGGAGACCCAGGGAGGCGTTACTGCAGCAGCCGCATGTGAGGGCATTCTGGAGGCAGAATTCCCTCGCACCCTCCATCCTTTCTCTCAAGGCTTTCAACAGATTGGATGAGACCTGCCAACATTATAGAAGGTAATCAGCTTTACTCAGTGTCTGTTGATTTAAACATACCTTTAGAGTGGCATCTGAGGCTGGTGCTGTACCAAAAGCTAGGTACCACAGTTTAGCCAGGATGACACATCAAAGTAACCACCACACTAGCCGTGATGTTTACAGTACCTAAGATTTGTCATTTGCACTGAGGGTTCTGCAAGCTGAAGTTCCCGCTGGCCTATGTGAGAAGAGCCTCTTCACCTTCAGTAGATTCTCCTTTGCCCCGTTTGGAGCACTGCCTCGTTGGGAGTCTGCTAGAGGAACGTCCTCAAGGATGGGCTGGTCCTCAAGGATGGGCAAAGGGAGTTCAACCCCCTGCAAACAGGCCTTCCTGGATTGTCCCACGTAAATGCTTCCTAGCTTCCTTTGCCTTCCTTCTTCATTAATCTCAGCTAGCATGTCCCTCTGATGGAAATTATTCAAGTAAGGAAGGAAGCAAAGGAGCAGGTGTAAGGGAAATACAACATGGGAGAGCATTCGTAAAGGAGGTCCATTGTGACCAGGACGAGTGGAAAGAGAGCACTGTTCTTGAGCACATGGAAGAGAAACAAAGAAGAAAGCAAAGGATCCCAACAATAGCTGCAGCTGTAAGTGAGGAATGACGTGAATGACGTCAAGTTCAAAGAAAGGAGGCGGGAGGTGGTGGAGTAGAATAAGCGGCAGAGCAATGTAGAAAGATACTCCTCGAAACCAGAAGCACGTATCTAGATGTCGATTCTGAATCGAGTCTATGCAGCAAATATGTGTGACTAACTCCCAGAACTCGGATTTTTCCCGCCCATGCCAGAGAGGATCTCCCTGGCCTGTCCTCTGTCATGCAAAAAAGACAAACAAATTCCACAGTGTCACATGTCATAGGCTAAGGAATAGATTTACTCGATTAAAGAGAAATGTCACAATGCCACTGTCAGAAAGACTGAGTCTCCCCCACTCCCATCCCAGGGAGAGAAATTCCAGGCTCAGAGCCATCTTCTGGACACAGTTTGGGTCCTGTTCTGATGGAGGGACCCTTCCCATGGTGGGTCTTGCTGTGCGCCTCGTGCTGTGAGACAAGTGTACGAAAGCGGTCATGCCAATAGTGAAATAGGCAGACTGGCAGTGTCAGGAAGTCTGATTTGGGGAAGCCAGCTATTTACAGGAACAGTCTGGAGTCGACACATTGCTTTGGACTGGGGACTTCGGGTAGCTGGGGATCTTCAGCACCTGTGGTACATCAGCATTACCCCCGAAGTTAATCACAAGCATCTTCGTGTCACCCAGTGCTAGGGCCTCACTTCTCCACCATCTAGAGAGGCTCATCTCTGGTTGGCCATGGCCCTTAGGGAAGCCCTGGTCGCCTAGCTCCCTAACCAATTTTTTGAACGTCTCCTCATGTAGTATAAGGACATCAAGCAAATGTGTCCTAGAGCTGTGACCTGAAGCCTGCCACCATGGCTGGGTTCTCTTTCCCCCAGGGGACAGGGGAGGAAGGGCCGAAGCCGAGGCTACATACAGCTGCACAGACAGGTGTATCGTGATGCGGCATGAGAAACCACTTCTGTAAACTCGGGACGAGCTGAGTATCCGTCGTGGTCCTGGTCATTCGGAGAAACTCTGGCACCGAGAAAATGAGGAGAGAGAAACTCACTTCTCTCCCAGACTCAAACACTGTAGTGAATGTTGACTTTTTCCGTAGGAAAACAAACAAGCTCAACAAGGAAAGATCATGAGTGAAAAGGGGTAATAGAGCGAGCAGTCACGTGGCTTTGCGTGGCAGCTCTCCCGCTCGCTGGATCTGCATATAAACAGGGTGCCGGGCGCCCGAGAACCCTACTTCTCTGGGACGCCAGGTCTGCCTCCTCCAGCATGCGCTCTCTGCAGCTCCTGTTCGGGGCCAGCCATGCCGCCCTGCTCTTGGTCCTCTGTCTGCAGCTGGGGACCAACACAGCTCAGGAAGACACGTGAGCCACGCCTTTCTCCTTCTCACACACACACAGAAATAACCTTTGTGGGGAGGGCTCCTCTCCTCCCCTGGAAATCTATATACCCCTTCCTAAACACTTTTTTAACTTCCCAGGAATCTAATCTCATGAACCCATGCGCATTCCCACCTCTCTCCTCTTAGGAGGCCCATCAGTTCCCCCCAACATCTCCGCTGGGTGCTTCCGAGTTGCCCACGGACATAAGGCTCCCAGCGCGCATGCAGGCTGTAATTAACCATCAGTCTTTCTCCAAGGCTCTGACCTACACACTGTGCTGTCCGTGGTCTACACCTTTGCTACACTGCTGCTTGGTGAACTTCACCTCCTCACACACACCCTGCCTCCCGGAAGGGGAGATTTTAGCAGGTCTGTGAGTTCCGACAGTAGCTTTGGGCACCTTTGGCGGGACTCACTGAGTTGATCAGAGGCCCTGGGCACTGATCCTGGGCCCCACCGTCCAAGGCTGAGCTCGCCTAGCAGTTTAGGCATTCCTCCTATGCTGAAGTCCAGAGAGAAATGTGAGGGCCACTTGCTCGTGACCGCCCCCGCCGCCCAGCGACCTGGGAGCACAGAAGCATGAGCCAACTGATTGAGGGCACATGTTTGAAGGAAGCAGGAAAATTGGGGCAAGCACAAATGAAACAGGAAATGGGACAATTTGGAGGGAGAAGCAGGGTCACCCGCCAAATCTAGGGAGTTTTCCCTACAAAAAAAAGAAAAGTTTCGGATGCCGGGTTTCTGGATGGCGATTCTGGTGGCACCCTCTGTGGCATGGCCAGATCCAACGTCCTGGGGGAAATCTTCCAGGGTTTGACGAGCTGCTTTCATGGAGGCGGGTGGGTGTCCCCGCTGAGAGGGACAGCGTCAGATACAATGTCCCTCCACTTAGCCCTGCGGGGTGGCAAGTTGTTGAGAAGCTGTGCTAATCAGGGTGACCAGCCATCCCAGTTTGCCCACAAATTTCTTGGTTGCAGCACTGAAAGCCCCCACCTCGGCAAACCCATCCTTGCCGGGCACACTGGGAAGGTGGGCCACTCCAGCTGTGCCGGTCACCCTACCAGTCCTAAATGCCTTTACAAATGGGGGGAACATGCGCCCCTCCCTGCCCGCTGAGCGCCAGAGCAGCTGGCACAGAGGCAGAGGCTCTGAGGAATCGGATGCTTCCCCTGGAAAGTGCGGCTGGGAAGCTCAGGGGCCAAGCAACCACCTCCCTCCTGCTCTCCCAACAGCAAAGGGAAAAGACAGTGACGCTGCTGGTCCTGAGCCCCCACCCTCACTGGCTGACAGGGGAGACCTGACTGCTCCCTTGGTCCAGAGCCCTTTCCCCATCAGGCTGTGGTGCAGCCTGAATGCAGGGTGGGATCTGTCGTTCCCAAATATGGCCCTGGGTCAACTCCCCTCCAGAGCTAAATAAATACAAACCCTAGGCCCTGCCAGGAGCCAAAGGAGGGGGATCATCAAGGACGGTCTCTCCCCCAGTGCACTGAGATGTCTGTGATTCTGTTGGTACAAAATTCTCTGCTAATGGTGGCATGCGCCCTCCCCGTCAGTGGCCAATCAGCAGGACCTACAGAATTTTATTAGGAGACGTCATGTGGTGTTGCACCTTTGTTGTTTCTCTAACGTATTTTTTTGTCAGTGGAAGGAAAAAAAAATGATACTCAGTTTTAAATAAAAGTACCCAAGGTGCTTTATTAAGCAAAACTAAACCAGTACAAACTAACCAAACTACCTAAAAACCAAAACTGCCCAGGGGATTCTGATGCCGTCAGCGAAGTACCTCCTTCCCCTTGCACCGTCCCAGCCCCTCGCCCCTGCCCATTGCGCCCCTGTCTCCGACGGACTGACCTCTGCTCCCCGCCGGCTTCTGTCTCCCCAGACCCACGCGACAGCCGATTATAATGAACCTCCAGTTGCCCCAAGTGACAAGGTCAACTGACGAAGTCACCGCAAAGCTTACGGTCCAAACAGAATTGAGAGAATGTATGGTGGTAAGTAGCAGCCCTGGGGAGGGAGTCAAGTGAAGAGAACGCCAGCCCCTTAAGTAAGGAAAATGCATTGGATTGTATAGGAAAACTACGAGATTACAGAGCAAGGATAACATTATTAAAAGTAAACTTGTGATACAGTAATCTATTTGTGTGTCTTCACCCACACATTAGCTGAAAAGGCAATGCCTTTACAATGGAATGGTTACGTTTTATGTTATAAAGATTATCTCTGTGGTGGCTGTGGCTGCTTAGCTTGATCGAGCGCCCTCCACTGGGCACTGGCCTTGGACAGCACATCACATGGGTCATCCCAGATGGCCAGTGGGTCCTGACCTTTTGTTTGGATTTTACAAGAGTCAAAAAAAAATTTTTTAAAGATTTCATTTATTTATTTATTTTTAGAGAGAGAGGAAAGGAAGGAGTGAGAGAGGGAGAGAAACATCAATGGGTGGTTGCATCTCACAAGCCCCCTACTGGGGACTGGGCCCACAATCCAGGCATGTGCCCTGACTGGGAATCGAACCGGCAACCTCTTGGTTCATAGGCCTGCGCCCAATCCACTGTGCTACGCCAGCCAGGGCAAGAGTCAAAAAATTTTGAACCATGGACATATATTGTTGTCAGTGTAATAAAAAAGATAAGCAAAGCAAGGTTAAGCTTCTCTAAAGAAACACCAGCGTCTCCAATGCATCTTGAGTAAAACTGCAATGGTGAGAACCCTTGAATTCACTGTCCGAGGCCAAGGGGCTATTCGGTGCAGAGTCACCAGCCAGTGGCCCGGCCAGGTTTCAGGAGACTGGCAGCCAGCCCCCGCCATGCCCAGGGAGCCCACTGATAACCCCTGCAGCGGGCGTAGCGGTGAGGGCAGGCACTGCTCCGAGATCTGTGATCTGTAATGTGGCACAAACAAGTCTGTGTTTCTCCTCATGATAAAATCACGCACTGCTAACGCCACCGTGGATCTCTGATGACATCCACAGCAGAAGGAACGCTCCATTTCAATGGGAGCTCAGGAAAATAAAGATACAATTTCTTTCCATCTGAGTTCACAGACTCGCTGACTTCTATCCACAGGCCCCTCGGGTCTGTGGACTCCAGGATTAACCCCCCTGTGCTGAACATGGACTAGAACACGAACCAGGCGCCACTGAAACGCACAGAGGCGGTGCTCTGGGGTCTTACATTGTAAAGCACGCTCAGGTTAAACAAGGTCGGAGCAAGTGTGCCTTCACGATTGCATTTGCTCATCTCGCAGCCAGGTTGGGCGGGGGCAGTCCGTGGTTCTCTCACAACTGAGGAAAGCGAGGACGAGAGGTATCACGGTCATTACCGAAGGTCACGGAGTTTGAGAGGAGCACAGCGGGGGTCACAGTGCTGCAACAGGGCCTGGCTTTGGCTTTCACCCCCAAGCAGTCTGGCTGCGGTCGGTCGTGGGCAATTCCTGAAGCCCTGCCCTCGAACCCAGGAAGGCCTGCCCCCCAGGTGGCCTGAGCCTGGGACGGGTGCTCCTGGGCCCAGGGATTCACTCCCCTCTGCCCTCCCGAGCCGGACACCCACGTGAGCCCACAGCACTGTGAGCGCGGGACAGAAACCCTTCTGACCCAGACTTCAGCTGCTGAAACGATTCTACAAAAGCGGACCTCCCGGGCCTCTCCCCGCCTCCGGCCCTGCTCTTTGCCCCCTGAGGCCATCCTCCCCCTCTTGTTTGACCCTTCCTTGTCTTTCTCTCCCTTTCCTACTCCTCCCCATGCTAATACTAGGTCATCTCTCTCCACCTCCTCCTCCCCAGATTAAAACTTACCTGGTAAGCAGCAAGCCGATTGATGGATCTTTTAACTATCGCTACAGTGCCTGCCTGTGTGACGATTACCCAAGAAACTTCTACTGGGACTTCCAGGTCAACAGTAAGTACAGGAGTTACTCAAGGGAAGACCTACCCACCAGAGAGGGGGCACCATGGAGCAGCAGGGCCCCAGAGATGGTGCGGAAGGCTGGAGGGGCAGGGGGTGGGAGAAAGGGGGCAGAGTAGGTGGAGACCGTGCTAAGGAGGGAAGTACACTTGCAAATAACTGGAGGAAGCTGAGTCCCAGCGGGGAGGTACCTGAAGCCGGTAGAAAGGCTAGGACACCGGGGGTTAGGGCACCATCAGAGACCATCTTGGTCCTCGTCTCCTCCAGGCACGGTAAGGATGGCTGCCGTGGTTGACGTCATCACGCAGTCGGGTATCTGCCCCAACGACGAGGCCGTCGTCCCCATCAAAGCCAACCGTTTCACTATCCTGAGGACCCTGTTCGTCGTCTGAGCTGGCCGGGGTGGGGGCACACCTGCCTGCCCCTAGCCCTGCCCTCCCCCTTCCCAGGATGGTTTGCTCCGAGGCAGCTTGGCTGGGGTACACGTTGTGGTCTGCAAAATAAACTTCTCACATGCTCCTCTGTGTTCTGTCGTGTCTTCCCCTCCAAACTCTCTCCCAGAGGAGCCTCAGGGTGCCCAGACTTTCTAGAACTCTCTTTCTTCGCAGAAACTTCGCCGAGGAGAGCTTACGAGTTCTCGCTGTAGAGAAGAGCGGGACGGTCTCACAGAGAGGAAATGCTGGCCCTCAAACCCGGCCACGGAGGGGTGGGAACTGGACCGGCATCCAAGCCTCCGGTCTTTGGTCTTCCGTGTCCCATTGTCCCCTCAAGGAGTCCCTGCGGAGTCCAGGAGATGGGAGTTAGCTGCATATAGCAGAGTTGGGTGCAGAGTCTGTGGTCCCCAAGATAAGTGATAAGTGTTCTACCTATTGTCTGGCTTCTTTTCAGCCAGCGATAAATGATGGACTAAGTGATGCTCGGGGACATGGCTGCACAGCAGGCACAGTGAGCTGAAGGGCAGAGTGGGCCAGGGGGTGCTTCCTGAGTCAGGGTCATGGGCACGAAGTGGGCAGAGGGCATCCTGGCAGACAGAGGAGTAGGCACCAAGAGCCCAAAGCATGCTCAAGGCAGGTGAGAACTGTGACACTGGGCGAGATTAACAGGCAAGCCAGATGGCCTGGACAGGAGGCTGACAAGGGGACAGGAACAAAGTCAGTGTGTAAGGGCAAGAAGATGGGGCCCCAGCTTCTAGACCCCTGAGACTGAAGGGATATGAGGTCCAGTGTAGGGAACAGCTATTGGGAAACATCCCTTGATACACTCAGTAGCAGTATTGATTGTATGTCTGACATGTGGCAGAAATGCACTGAATATTTTCAGTTATATGCTTTATCACAGGCCCTCTGAAAAACTACTATATATACACACACACACACACATACATATACGTGCACTCATATATACATGTACACAATAGAATATTATTTAGCCACAAGAAAGAAGAAACTCCTGCCACGTGTAACATGGATGAAACTTCGGGGCCTCATGCTAAGTGAGTGCAGACAGCGCAAGGCTGCAGCCGGAGGACATCACTACAGATGAGACCTGCAAAAGCTGAACTCGTGCCTCCAGCGTCGAGCGGGGGTCACCGGGCACGGGCTGTGCGGGGGCTGGGTAGGCGTCGGTCAAAGGGTACAAACTTCCCGTTAGGGGATGCATAGTTGCAGGGGTCCGAGGTACAGCGTGGTGACTACGGTTAACGCTAGTTGAAAGTTGCTGAGAGAGTAGATCTCAACCATTCCCCCCCCAGAAAGGAATGGCACTTCTGGGAAGTGATGGAGGTGTCTGCTAACGCTATGGGGATAATCATTTCGTAACATGTAAGTGTATCACATCAACGCATCATACACCTCAATCTTACAAAATGTTTTATGTCAATTATATCTCAGTAAAGCTGGGAAAATAGGAAAGCGAAACAAACTTTTAAAAACCACACGCATTAGATATTGGTTCATTCGGTAAGTACCTAGCAAGTGCCCACTGGGCCTGCTTCAGGCGCTCGGCTTCCATCCGTATCAGGTACTTTCTAACGAGCAGTAACACAAGTCACAAGGAACCACACACTTTGCCTTCACGTCTGATGGTTCACCCGAACGGCTCTCCTCCAGGTCTCCTCCTGTCGAACAGTCTAATCTTTTTCCTAGCAGGCCCCTGACCGACCAGCCAGCAGACTTGCTGTTGCTGGACCGTCCGTATGTATTACCTCAAGTCACTCTTCCCCGTGTACAAAATAGATGACCAGGCACATCGCTTACAGCTCTGCCCGCTGAGGGTTCTTCCCCCACCCCGGTGAGTTTCCTAGAGGCTCCCGGGTGAGGTTCCCATGTGGCAATGGTCCGTCTTTAACTCACAGCAACACGCTGAGCCAACTCATCTGTAAGCCACTCCTGGGTTTTTTTCCTCCAAAACCCAGCCAAGGGGAATTCATCCACCCGTGAGGCCGTAGGCCCAAACCTGAAGGAAGGACATTAGTGCGGTGAAAGTAGCTGACATCGGGCACGAACCACTTTCTCTGTGACTTAAGCCCTCTGGAGCAGGTTGGGTCCGATCTTAGCTGCGCTACTTCCGTAGTATGGTGGGCGGCTGCCGTGCCCACCCAAATCTACAATCCGTAGGTCTGACAATTCCTCACTCATGATGGGAAACTCTGATCCCATGGTTGTCTGGTGTTTATGGCCAGGTTGGGACTTTGTAGTGCCCCTGTACTCCTTTTCAAAAAACCAGCTAGTTCTCTGAGGCAGATGGTATGGCCTTGCTCGAGAATCCTATTGCTCTACTCTGCAGCGTGGCCCCTGGGGCTTTCCCAGGGACTACACTTGAAGTCTTTAATCTAATAGATCTAACTAGATCTCATAAACAATGACCATGCAAGAGAAGAAAGTCAAAAATAAATCTCACTTTGCCCAGTTTTTAATTACATTATTTGCTTTTCAGTGTTGAGTTTTATAAGTTCTTTGCAAATGTTGGATATTAAGCCCTTCTGAGATGTATTATTAGAGATATGTTTTCAGATATCACCTCACACCTGTCAGAATGGCTATCATCAATAAATCAATAAACACCGAGTGCTGGTGAGGATGTGGAGAAATGGGAACACTTTTGCACTGTTGATGGGAATGCAGACTGGTGCAGCCACTGTGGAAAGCAGTATGGAGTTTCCTCAAAAAAAAAATTAAAAATAGATCTGCCTTAAGACCCAGAGATTCCACTTCTGGGAATACATCCAAAGAAACCTGTAACACTAATTTGAAAGCCTAAGTGGAGTCCTATATTCATTGCAGCGTTATTTACAATTGCCAAGACTTGGAAGCAACCTAAGTGCTGATCATTAGATGAGTAGATAAAAAAGCTGTGATTTATTTACACAATGGAGTACTACTCAGCTATAAAAAAAAGAAAATTTTACCTTTTGCAACAGCATGGATGGACCTGGAAAAAATTATGCTAAGTGAAATAAGCCAGTCAGAGAAAAGTAAATACCATATAATTTCACTCATATGTGGAATCTAATGGACAAAATGAACTAGTAAGCAAAACAGAGACAGACTCCCAGATGAGGGCAGAGAGACAGCTGCCAGAGGGAGGGCTGGGTGGGCAGGTGTATAAAGGGAGTGAACAAAAAACCAAGAGTGAAAAAACTCATGGACTCGGACAACCGCAGGGAGGGGGTGACATGTGGCTGAGGAGGGTGTAGGGGACTAAAGGGGGATGGAAGAAGACTGGACGTGGGGTGGTCAACACACAACAGAGTGTACAGATGATGTGCTGTGGGATTGTGCAACCGAAGCCTGTATAATTTTCTTAACCAGTATCATTCCAATCAATTCAATAAAAAGGAAAATAAATACATCTCACTAAGGTATGTAGATGCAAAAGTCTAAATGGATATTAATGAGTTAGATTCATCAGTATATAATTTTAAATATATTATGATTCCAACAGACACTACTTTTCCCTCAATATTCATCTTTCTCTGTATCCAACTGAATAGTATTTTTAACCAGACACATAATTACTTACAAAGAAATTGCATTTCTAAGCCTCCTTTTGCAGGTAAATGTTGCAGTATAATTAAATTCAGCCAATAGTATGCAAGAAGAAGTGCTACGTGATAGTTCATAGGAGTTATTTTAGGGTCATATCAACATCTTTGTCTCTTTTTTTTTCTTCCGTGCTACCACCCTGCTTGCAAATACAAAGGAGGCTGCCACCCTGAGTCGTAGGCTGAGGGCCACACCCTAGAGATGGAGGAACAATGAGGAGGAGAAACTGTCCCTGAGGACCTTGTGCAGTAGTCTTAGTGGATAAAGTTGCTTTAGCCATAAGACTATTACTTCCAGACTTTCATATAAAACAGATGACATTTCTATCTTGTTTAAGCACTGTTTGCTATCACTGTTTTTGTTACTACGTGGAAAAAGCCTGTAAATAACGTGCTTTTAAGAGCTGTAAAATGTCCAAAGGAAGATTTTTTTTAACATAGCATATCTGAACCAGTTATAAAATACAACTGCAGGATTTTTATTTGGGGAAAATGTTTATTATTCTTTCATTGCTTTTACAATGTTAAAATAAAACATGTATAAAATATTAAATTCCATAGTCATTGCCAGGTAGTGGGATCATGAGTCCTTTTTATTTTTTATTTTAAAATGTTTACTTTTCATACACAAAAATAATCATTATTAATATCAAAACTGTACTTGACCCTATCATATATTTTCACGGAATCCCTATATGTAAGCAGAGATGTTGGCATGCACATTGGGGAGAAAAGAAACAGAGTTAACCATGTGTTTGATCTCTAGAGCATAATACATGTGGCATGCAAACTTTGATAACCTTGCAGAATTCAGTCTAGATTATCATTTGTATGTGGATTTGGTAAGAAAGAAAAACGGAAAGAAGGGATGGATGGAGGGAGGGAGGGAGGGAGGGAGGGACCGAGGAAGGAAGGAATGAAGGAAGGATGGAAAGAAGGAAGGAAGGGAGGGAGGGAGGGAGGGAGGGAGGGAAGTCCCTCTGCTTTTTACCTCAGTCCAAGAGGAGCGAAAGGGCAAGCAGTTTCTCTGGCAGGAAACAGAATCCCCAGGAGGAAGAAGCTCCCCTGAGATGCTGAGGCCATTCCTGCTGGAAAGAAGCTGCTCTGACCTTTCTCCAGAACCGCCACTCACAGTGGAAGAGACGTGGAAAGTATGAACAAATGTGCAGGATTCGCGCTGTCCTAATTCAGAACTTACTATAAAGTTACAATAATTAACAGTGTGTTCTTAACAGAAGGGTAGACCCACAGATCGATGAAACAGGGGAGACGGTGGAGAAGCAGCCCCGCACAGATACGGATGACTGATTTTCGACGAGGGTGTCAAGGCAATTCAGTGGGGTAAGAATACTTCTCTGCCAACAGAAGACTCTGGAACAACTGGTGATCCAAATGCAAAACAAACAAACAACCACCACCAAGAAACCTCAACACATCCCTTCAAGTGGTACAGAAGTTAAATCAAACTAAATATGGAAAGTAAGATTATGAAACTTCTCAAAGGAAATGCAGGGAAAAAAACGTCGCGGCCTTGGGTCTGGCAAAGACATAACATCAAAAGCACGATGCGTGAGACGGTGCGCACCAGGGAAAGCTGCACGCAGGGCATAGAGGGGGTGTCTGTGCCATCCTAACACCCGTAGGTCAAAAGCTATTTCAAAATAAGTTCAAAATATTACAAAGTAAATGGGTCGTGTTTAAGCCAGCCTCTCTGTCCTTATTGGTTCCTGGGTTTTCCCCTGCTAGAAATACACTTGAATGCACCCGGAACATACACAGGCAACTGGACGGGCTGTTTAAGTGTTGGTCCCCCAGGTCTACTTCAAAAGGTGGTCTATTCACCTAAACAGGTTTCGTCATCCCACTTCAAGCTGCCCCTGGGACTTCCCAGCAACAATACTCTTTCCACAGAGGGATACAACTCGCCCTAAGCTCTGACACGCATAGCCTCTGCTGGAATGCCTCTGATGATGCCCATGACCCCTGTCCCTGCCACCTCCTCACCACAGCCCCTCAGCACTGTGAACCCCTACCCCCTACCCTGATCCCTATGACTGAGGTCATTCCAGTCCTGTGTACTGCTCCTCTGCCCTCTCTGTCTCCCACTGGTGTTTCTCGCACGGAGTGAGAACTGCTGTGCTCTCCCCTCACCTTCATACTCCCACACTATATTCAAGATCCACGGGGCCATGGAACTGCCCTTTCTCTGTGAGCCTCTCAGTATAAAGAACTCTGCACTGAAGGTCATTGGCACCACCTTTCATTAACCAGCAGGCATCTGTGTGCTGCCTCGTGGGGGTCGGGTACTGCACTGGGATTTGGGGATGGGCTATCGTGATGAGCAAAACAAATGAGAGAAGCATCAGACTCCAAGGGACTCTATGCCATCTCCCCAAGGGACCCCTGGAAGCCTGGGTGGCCAAAGTGGGGGAGAGCCAGGGACCAGAAAAAGGCTTTCTCAAACCAGACCTGCGGTCCTGAGATACTCCAGGCTTGCTTGTACGGCAGGTGGGAATGGCCAAAGGGGAACAGCTGTCTATTACACTGTGTTCAAGGGAAATAGTTGCAGCTCAGGATTAAAGATTTAAAGACAAGACGGTAAGAGTCAAAACGTGAAAAGACAGTCATAACATAAATGCAGCCGTTTTAAAATAGAGTCATGGCCGCCGTTCCAGAGGAACTGCATTGCCAGTCTCACCCCTCAAACCCCCGGCACGTGTGAACTGGACAAAATAACCTCGAACGGAGCCAACCAGCCCCATATTCCCAATGCCGTTTGTGAAGCTGACGGGGCACAGACCTCCTGACCGCAGGACTGCCGACTGTCCACATTCTTCACGGTGAGCACCGCTGGGCATAGCTAAGGAGGCGCTTATCTGCACCAAGGAATGCGGTCCTTGGCTGATTGACACCACGAGAAATTCCTTCCTTCCACTCCCATGATTACCTTTCTTCCTTTTCTCATAAAACCCCCTGCCTCCACCCCGTAATGGGGACACGATTTGGGGTAAGTGCTTCCCAAATAGCTACTCTTCGACCTCACACAAACGATTATTGCCTCCCACTTTGGCTTTCTGTTTCTAAGGTAGTGACCACTTGTCTAAAACAGCTAATCGGGCCAGAAAGCCATCGAGTCAGTTTTTGCCTTGTTGTCGAGGGAAAACCAATCGCTATGAAAATTTTGAGAGACATCTTACCCACCAACGTTCTCGTTACTAGAATTACTTCATTATCATCAATTATGTACAGTGAATAAAAGTTAATTTACTCCGCATAGGGAAGACTGTGTAACATCACGTGTCCCGTGCTTACACTCCACGGGGGTTATATCAGAAACACCTCCACCAAGACAAAGGCGACACATGTTTCATCTCTTGGTTGTAATATTCCCAAATAGGCTGGGCGGCCTTTGGGGGATGTTTTTTACCTTAATGTTGGTTAGGCTACACTGGGAAAGAATGAGGGAACTTTTCCTTCAACGATTATTTTCCTAGTTTGTGTTTTTTTTTAAATAAAAAGGTAAATGTATGTGTGTAATCATTTATATTAATATAACTTAAGAAATTTGCTCTCTCTCAAGTACTTTAGTTTGCAAAGAAATTCACCTCTTGAAAATTAGTATCTCCTGGCTTTATTAATGCGATATTGTGATTTATAATAAATATATGTATACTATTTGGTCTTCATCCTTCTTTCTGGCATAAAGCTCCTAAAAACCCTTGGATTTCCTAAGCAAAGAGTGATAAAAAAAATAGTCTTTTATGCCTGGCTGGTGTAGCTCAGTGGATTGAGCACGGGCTGCGAGCCAAAGCATCACAGGTTCGATTCCCAGTCAGGGCACATGCCTGGGTTGTGAGCCAGGTTCCCCAATGGGGGCCACATGAGAGGCAACCACACATTGATGTTTCTCTCTCTCTCTTTCTCCCTCCCTTCCCATCTCTAAAAAAAATAAATAAATAAAATATATTTTTAATTGTCTTTTATTATGTGAATGAAATGACCTTTGGACTGTGCCCAAGGATGGGTGCTGGTTACCAGAAGGACCAACCATGTGACTGGAGGGTTAGAAGAGTCAGTCCCACCCATCCCCACCCCTGCCTCCAGCCAGGGACCGCAGAAGGGCTGGAGACTGAGTTCAACCACCAATAGCCAGCGACTTCCTCAAACGTGCCCGTGTAAAGAAGCCTCCACAAAAACACAAAGGGACTGTGCTCTGGGGGCTTCTCGGATGGCGAGCATACGTAGGGGTGCCAGGAGGGCATGGAAGTGCCACACCCCCTCCCACATCCCTAGCCTCATGCCTCTCTTCCATCTGGGTGCTCATCTGTACCTTTTATCATATCGTTTTCCAGCACATCAGTAAGTGGAAGTAAACTGTTTTCTTGAGTCCTGTGAGCCACGCTAGCAAATTAATCACACCTGAGGAGCAGGTCCTGGGAGCCTCTGATTCACAGGTGGTGGGTCTGAAGCACAGGGTGGCAACCTGGACTTGCAGGTGGCATGTGACATAGGGTGGGGCCGTCTAGGGGACTGAGCCCTTAACCTGTGGGATCTGACGCGCTATCTCCAGGTAAATGGCGTCAGAATTGACCTAAATGGTAGGACACCCAGAATCGCTTGTTGTTGAAAGGGGGGGAAATCCCATATATTGGTGACCAGAAATGTCAGAATGAAGTGTCCTGTGTGAGTTGTAAAGAAAGTCTTTACAACTGATGAAAAACTGTTTATTTTATTTCAACTCAAGTGTTCTCCCCTTAAATAGTGAGGACATCATAAAAGACTATCAGGAAAAAGTGATACAGTCAAGTCAGCTCTGCATTTAGTCTTTGGAATGCACACACACACACACACACACACACACACACACACACAAATCCACAGGTCTAGGTAGGATAACATAACCTCTGGGACCAGCTGGCTCGGGTGTGAATCCCAGCTCTATAACTCTCTGGGTCTGTGGCTTTGGGCAAGTTCTTTAGTTTCAGTTTCCTCATCTGCAAAGTAGAGATAATAAAAGTTCATTCTTCATAGAATTGTTGTGAGGCTTAAATGTGGTAATATATGTAAATGCGGTGTTTCAACAGTGGCTAGCACATCATATGAAATGTACAGTCATACCTCAGTACTCGTCAGCTTCAGAACTCACCAAACCCTGTATCCACTGCATTTTGACGAGAAAAAAATGTTTCAGCACTTGGCGCTTGCTTGGTGTGACTCATTGCACTTGCTAGGACGTGTATGAGTCACCACGCTACCCCCGCAAGGGAAAATGCTTCATCGCGCATCGCTTGAAAAAAAGTTCATTCGGTGCTCATCGGTTTCAGCACTGGTCAGGAATTAGAGTTCTAGAATGAACTCTAACAACAAGTACTGAGGTACCACTGTCTGTGTCTGTAAAGTTTCCATCAGTTTTCTAAAGCCACAAGTGAGACTGAATTCAATGATGGCTTGCTACACAGATGCCTGAATTAACGGGAGGTAGTAAATAACACAGCTCTCGATACCATGTTAGTGGTTGACAAAAGAGTGTCTTCTCAAGTCCTTTCCTGGGCCCCATGATTAGACAAACACCAACACAAGACAAGGGTGTGGGAGAGGATTAGAAACCGAATCCCTCCATCATTTGCATTTCCACATTTAGAACCAAGAGTTCTGAGACAAACAAATGGAGTGAATTTGGAAATGCTACATCAACTGCTTCCTCCTGTGACATGAATAGTGGGAGCTATCAGGACCTGCCTACCAAATGCTAGGGGGGCATTTTCTCTTAGACGACGGAGCGGAGTAATAGCTCAGGATGACTGAGAGGTGCAGTCCCCCAGAAGAGTTGTCCTCCTTGCACACCATCTTACTTTTCACAGTTGTAGGCATCGAGTGCATCATTGGTATCATTGCGAATGGGTTCATTGTGGCTGTACATGCAGCTGAATGGATTCAGATTAAGGCAGTTTCCACAACTGGCAGGATCCTGGTTTTCCTGGGTATATCCAGGCTAGTTCTCCAAGGCTTCATGATGCTAGAAATTACCATCCGCTCAACATCTCCACATTTTTATAATGAAGACAGTGTCTATGATACATTCAGAGTAAGTTTCATGTTCTTGAACTATTATAGCCTCTGGATTTCTGCCTGGCTCAGTTTCTTCTACTTCGTGAAGACCGCTGACTTCTCCTGCTCCCTCTTCCTCAAGCTGAAGTGGAGAATCACTGGGCTGATGCCCTGGCTTCTGCGGCTGTCAGCGCTTACCTCCTTGGGCTATAGTATTCTCTTCTCCAAGGGCATCTACACCATTTACTGTAACAGTTCTGTGCCTGTCCCCTCCTCCAACGCCACTAAGAAACAATACTTCACCGAGACCAATATGGTGAACCTGGCTCTGCTCTATAACCTGGGGATCTTCATCCCTCTCATCATGTTCATCCTGACAGCCACCCTGCTCATCCTCTCTCTCAAGAGACACACTCTACGCATGGAAAGCAACGCCACAGGCTCCGGGGACCCCAGCATGGAGGCCCACGTGAGGGCCATCAGAGCTACCAGCTACTTTCTCATTCTCTACACTGTCAACGCAGTTGCTGCTTTTCTCTATATGTCCAACATCTTTGATGACAGCAGCTCCTGGAATAGTCTGTGCAAAGTCGTCATGGCTGCCTACCCAGCTGGCCACTCGGTGCTGCTGATTTTGGACAACCCTGGGCTGAGAAGAGCCTGGAGGCGGCTGCAGTCTCGAGTTGATCTCCACCTAAAAAAGTAAACTCTGTGACCGACACCGTGAGAGCATCACAGCGCCTGGCCCGGCCAGCTCTGCCTCTCCGTCACCCAGACCTCTGGCTTCCCCCGTCTTTTCTCGCCCGAACCTGATCTGACCCTTTCACCTGGCGCAGCTTTTGTAGAGGAGTGTGATCTTCATTTCTCTCTTTTGCTTCATGGGCACAAGCTTAGTGATGCCCAACATGTCCTCTGCCTGAGCCTTCCATTTCCGCCTCCCTTGCTCTATAGAAAGCAGAGATGCTAGAAGCTGCTCCAAATTAGAATCTCTAGGGGGGATTTTTTGAAATTCCGATGTCCAGATCTGATTCTAGATCAGTTAAGTCCACAGTTCTGGCATCAGAACACAGACAATTTTCTAAGTTCTCAGCGAGATTCTGATGTATAGCCCAAGTTGATACAGCCACCAAAAGAGAGGCAGGCGCTGCAGCCTGAGCTCCGGGCCCCCTCCCTCCTTCCCCATCCACTTGCCCTGGAGACATTCAGAGGATCCGGGAAGCCTTCTAAGAGCAGCAGGAAATGCATTTTGTCTCCATTCTCAAAAAAAATACAACCTGAATAATATGCACATATCTATCAAAATTAACAGTAATAAAATACCCTTAAACCTAAAAAGTACTAAGAATTTTTCCTACAGATAAGGTATGGTCATATATTGCAATAAGCATGTGTGAAGACATGTGTGAGAAGGTCTTGGCTGTGGCATTGTTCATCAATGAGGAGACTCATTTATCCAAAGTAAAATATCGTGTAAGAATTTTTAAAGTGAGGCAGATGCGTATATCCTGAAATGAGAATATTTCCAATATACTATAATGTATAAAAAGCAAGGAGATATTTTATACTCCATTTATGTTCTTTTATGAAATATGCCTATGTTTCTTGTGTGTGTAGGTATATATATGAAGTTTCTGGAAGTAGGTACCAAAAATGATTAACAGAGGACTTCTGAATATGGCCGGTTATCTGGGGGAGAAATTAAACACTTATACTACATTTTTTTCAACTTTGCTGCATTGATGGAACTATTCAGAACATGTATGCATTAATTTCAATTTTTAAAAATTTTTATTTAAGTATAGTTCATATGCAACCTTATATTGGTTATATTAGTTTCAGGGGTACAATACAGTGATTTGACATTTTCATACTTTACAATGGGGTTTATATTGATGTTTTTTATAAGAAAGAGAACGAGGTACTAAGGAGGGAAGACCTGAGGGAGAAGACTGTGTAAGTAGACTGACCCTCTTGCTATGTTTTTATAAAAAACGCAAACCTCCGAACCCATGAATTAAACCTATCGCTGTCTCCTGTTTTCTGTCTCATTCATTCACTCCAGGGCTACCGTGGGAAGATCAGGGGCACTGAGTCCAGGGACAGATCTGCATTCTCCGTCACTCTCTTCGCTTCTCTCCATATTCGGTTTGGATTACTGGTTAAGCATGTTACCCACACCCTTCAAAACACTCTGGGTAACTACAGATGGAGAGAGACTATGTCTGAGATGTGCTTCAAAACGATCTTGCACGGGGCAAAGGCGTGAAGAGTAGAGAGGTTTAGGTCAGTCATATGTTCATGATTCCTTTCAAACTAGGTCTCAGGTACATGAGGATTCTTTCGTCTCTCCATTCCAGGGTATGTTTGAAATTCTGCTAATATAACTGTATATAAGTGAATTACAAATATTTTTTAAATACTCCAATTTCCTGGCCACCTCCCTCTTCAACCCAAGCATGTGGAAAATCCCACATCTGGATGAACTCGACTGTTTTTAACACTCCACACTGACCTCCAAACAGCCTATTGTTACTGGAGAACATTTTATAACTGGATCAACCTATGTTCCCAGATTCGTGCTCTGCAGCCTCGAATAAGTAACATCACTGGGTACTTCTACCCTGTGTTTCCCTGGAGAAGTCACTCATTCACGACCCAGAAGGACTAGCCCTCCAGCCCCCCTTCTCCCTGCTTTATTTCCCACTGACGGAGCTGCCCACACATTCTCTGACAGAAGTCACTGGGAGGACATGCCTTCGTCTTCCCATTAGCAAACCTATAAAGCCACCAAGTTTTCCCTTTATTCCTAGCATTTCCACAGAAGGAGTGCCCTCTGTGAAGAAAATAAATAGAGATGCTGTAAGGACTTTTCTCCTGTATATGTCTCCTTCCTCCAAGTTCCATTTTTGGGGGTGTTTTCATTTTCTGTCTTTCATGATTGACCTTTGCCTCAAATATCTGGTAGCCCTTGAATGTGAGCATTAAGAAGCTGACTGCAGAATTTTGAAATTAATTTTTTTAAATGTTTTAGAATATAAAAAAACATATTGAAACATATCAGTGAGAGGCATCTTAAAAGTAGCACATTCAAAGACAGATTCTCAGTGTTTCTGCCTAAATACATTCCTCCTTCAGTTTTCTCCAACTTATTAATATTAAATAGAATTGCAATATTTATAAAAATGAGGCAAATAATAACGCTAATCTCACAGGAGAGTCCAGAACAATAATTAAGATAGTGTGTTCATGGTAAATGACTGATACAAGATGGCCATATTCATTATTTAAAAGAACCACATCAGAAATAGCAACTGAGCCTGGCCGGTGTAGCTCAGTGGATTGAGCGCAGGCTGGAGAATCAAAGGGCCCACAGTTCGATTCCCAGTCAGGGCACATGCCTGGGTTGGGAGCCAGGTCCCCAGTAAGGGGTGCATGAGAGGCAACCACACATTGATGTTTCTCTCTCTCTCTTTCTCCCTCCCATCCCGTCTCTGTAAAAAATAATTAAATAAAATCTTTTTTTAAAAAAGAAAGAAATAGCAACTGACATTGAATTATCAATCTACAGAACTTAATCTGATAAATTCAGCAAATAAAATTTATTCCACCTTCTCTTCCTATCTGCAAAGAATTAAGTTAGATTTCTTTTGAAATCAAGCCACTTCTTCCTTTTCTTTTCAAAACAGTGCAGAGACCCTTAAGGGTCTCACCTTCTGAACTTCTACAAGGAAATCAAGGCAAAAGAGCACAGCGCAAGGAAGACCTTGAAACTCTCAATCCAGGAAAGAGTTGCTTCAGGTCATTTGAATCTATTCAGCACAGGTCTGGGACTTCAGGCTGAGTCATTGGACTTCAGGCTGAGTCATTGCTCGGGACTTGGAGTGGGAAGGGCCACCATGCTGAGAGGGAAAGGGGTGAACTGCCCTCCCCCACTGTATAACCAGCCTATGGAACATTCTGGAAACAAGGGCACCTCGGGGGCAGGCCTCGCTGGGCCAGAGACTCAGCTGTGCTAGCCAGTGCTCCTAACACGTTCCCATCCTTAAAGGCTGCCAAGAAGTAATATGACATTTTGTGGATACCACGAAAGCCTTCCAGGAAGGAACATGACTGTTTGAGGTGTGAGTTCAGGCTCACATCATTATTTGTCATTTGATCCCCACAGAGGATTTTGTTGTTTTTTAAAAAAACGTATTTGATATTCAAAATGATGGCATGCTTCCTTGTACCTTAACCAATGGGTTTTGAATAACACATGGGATGCTGAAAAAACTGGCAGGTGAACTCTGTAAACGCCTTTTCCTCTCTCATCATTCTCAGGCGCCGAAAATGTTAAGTCAATGACTACTGAATCTTGGCCACGGGCGGCAGAAAATGCAGCATCAAAGCCATCAGTGAACCACCTGTGAGAGAATATTTACAGGAAACAGCAGATTCCTCATCGAGGAGATCCCATCCCTCTGAGTAACAGATGACTAGGGAAGTCCATGTCCCATGTCCCAACTGCTTGTCACTCTATTCTGACAATGCTGGAAAGCTGTACTTTTGTGCAGAATAACCTGATTGTCAAAAAGCTGCCTATTAAAAGCATCACCACTCAGATTCTCATATATGGCTTTTTTAAATGACATTGTCCATACTTACTTACAGTGAGGAGTACAGTTGGAGGGCTTGCCAACTAGTACCAAGTGCTCCATTTGCGTAAGATCGATGCAGGGCTTATCATGAACGGACCTTGTCTTTCCTCGGCACTGAGATATTTTCTTCTCTTTTTAAAAAGTTATGTCTTCCTCTCCATTTTCTCTAATCTTACACCCTGAAATCCCCTTCGGTCAGATTGTAGACCTACTGAATAAAATATCTGTCTCTTATCTTCTCTACTAACTTCTTCATCATTGATAGTGGCTCTGCATTCAGAGAAATTAGTTTGATTTCATCTTATTTTCACTGAAATCATATATAAACTGAATGTAATTTTTAATCATATTTTTTAATTTCTAAAAGCTTCTTATTGTTTCTTATTTGTTTCTTAGTTTCTTTGTCAATAGCACACTTTTCTAATTTTATGGATGCAATATCTTCTCTGCCTTCTCTAGGGATACAAGTTTGAATTTCTTGTGATTTCTTCAGGGGCACTTATTCTGAATGTTTTTCTTGGTCTTTCTCTTTTGGGTTGCTCTTGTTTCTGCTCATGCTTGGTTACTAACTCATGAAGGAAAACGAAAGACCGTTTTTCGTGAGTAGTGCTCCCCAGTAGGACACTCTCCTGCTTTGGAAAGGCTGTTCGGGAGCTTGGCTTTGTAATGGGGCCATCCTTCATCAGGACTGGCTTCTGTCGACTGGCTTTCCTTTTGGGGACACGAGTGAGGAGCCTGACATTATTCCATACATGTAAAACGACATAATAAGAAAGAATTTAATCTGTGCGCACACACCCACACTAGAAGTCGTGTTCTCTTTCTGGGCAACGTGTTTGATTTCTCTCAAAAAGCATTACCAAAATGGGGGCTGCTGACGGTTCTGTGTGCAGTGGTGGGGAAAGGGTCGGGAGAGGTCCCTAAAGCAGCTGCCTGGCAGAAAGGATTTCAGCGATGCAGGTAGTTTTGCACCATGCCTCACTTCCACTACCCAAAGGCGGGAACCTACATCCAGGTCCCTCAGGACTTTCGGTAAGCTGGCCAGGCACCACATTCCCAAGGCCCAGCA